GTTTGAAAGTAGGAAGAAAGCTTATCTTTAAATAGCTCCTTTGATAACAAAGTCAGTTGGTTTTGAGATGAAAAAACAAACAAACAAAAAATAAATAAGTTGTTTAACCGCGAATTCACACTGGAGGCGTCAGTGGCACAGAACGTCGCTGCTTCAAATAGAATCCATCTTAGCCTGTGGGGTTGATTCAAACCAGCAGCAGCGCAGACATTTTCAGGTGCATCCCATAAGCAGCCCATAGCATAGCTCCACTAAAGATAAGATTGTTTTCTATTTTTGCCATGAGCCACTTCTGGGACACACCAATTTCCGCAGTTCACATTGAGCTAGACAGAAAATCACGCACAGTTTCAGTGTAAAACACCTGGTAATTATCAAAATAAAAAATTATTTCAGCAATGCGATTTCATAGATAATGTCTATTAGGGCTGCACAATATATCGCAAATATATCATTATCACTACATCAGCATGCGCAATATGCATATTGCAAAGAACAGATAAATATCGCAATGAATGGTCAGCTCAAATGTTTGCTACACATAATGCATTCTGTCAATCAAACAGAAGCATGTTTTTTTAAACAAATCAAATAGAACTCTTAACCCATTTGGCCAATTGGATGGGTTCTCATTGGTTAGATGCCCGCCCCCGAGGCGAACGGCACTTAATTCTGATGGTTAGCAAACACCCGAGTTAGCTTTGTTCTGCTCTTTCTGCTGATTCTGCTTTTCACGGGATCCACCGATTACCTTTTCTTGTTCATTTTCTTTTTCCGTTTCCTCACATCTTTTGCTTTTCTCATTTATATGATTTTTTAGTCATTTTAAAATTTCTTTGTTTGTGATTATTTTTGTTCCTGAGTTAAGTTTTATTTATCGCAAGTAATATCGCCATCGCAATGGTAAATCACTGTTATTGCATATCGCAGGTTTTCCTAATATCGTGCAGCCCTAACGTCTATACATGTGACCTAAAGCCAGGTCCATAAATATTGGGACATCGACACAATGTTAACATTTTTGGCCCTATACACCACCACAAAGAATATCAAATGAAATGAACAAGATGTGCTTTAACTGCAGACTGTCAGCTTTTATTCGATGGTATTTACATCCAAATCAGGTGAACGGTGTAAGAATTACAACAGTTTGCATATGTGCCTCCCACTTGTTAAGGGACCAAAAGTAATGGGACAATTGTCTTCTCAGCTGTTCCATGGCCAGGTGTGTGTTATTTCCTCATTATCCCAATTACAATGAGCAGATAAAAGGTCCAGAGGTCATTTCAAGTGTGCTATTTGCTTTTGGAATCTGTTGATGTCAACTGTCAAGATGAGATCCAAAGAGTTGTCACTATCAGTGAAGCAAGCCATCATAAGCCTGAAAAAACAAAAGAAACCTATCAGAAAGATAGCAAAAACATTAGGTGTGGCCAAAACAACAGTTTGGAACATTCTCAAAAAGAAGGAACGCACCGGTGAGCTCAGCAACACCAAAAGACCCGATAGACCACAGAAAACAACTGTGGTGGATGACCGAAGAATCCTTTCCCTGGTGAAGAAAACACCCTTCAGAACAGTTGGCTAGATCAAGAACACTCTCCAAGAGGTAGGTGTATCTGTGTCAAAGTCAACAATCAAGAGAAGACTCCACCAGTGTGAATACAGAGGGTTCACCACAAGATGTAAACCACTGGTGAGCCCCAAAAACATGAAGGCCAGAATAGAGTTTGCCTAACAACATCTAAAAAAGCCTTCACAGTTCTGGAACAACATCCTACGGACAGATGAGACCAAGATCAACTTGTACCAGAGTGATGGGAAGAGAAGAGTACGGAGACGGAAAGGAACTGCTCATGATCCTAAGCATACCACCTCATCAGTGAAGCATGGTGCTGGAAGTGTCATGGCGTGGGCATGTACAGCTGCCAGTGGAACTGGTTCTCCTGTATTTATTGAGGATGTGACTGCTGACAAAAGCAGCACGATGAATTCTGAAGTGTTTCAGGCAATTTTATCTGCTCATATTCAGCCAGATGCCTCAGAACTCATTGGACGGCGCTTCACAGTGCAGATAGACAATGACCCAAAGCATACTACAAAAGCAACCAAAGAGCTTTTGAAGGGAAAGAAGTGGACTGTTTTGCAATGGCCAAGTCAATCACCTGACCTGAATCTGATTGAGCATGCATTTCACTTGCTGAAGACAAAACTGAAGGGAAAATGCCCCAGGAATAAGCAGGAACTGAAGACTGTTGCAGTAGAGGCCTGGCAGAGCACCACCAGGGATGAAACCCAACGTCTGGTGATGTCTATGTGTTCCAGACTTCAGGCTGTAATTGACTGCAAAGGATTTGCAACCAAGTATTGAAATGTATAAGTTTGATTTATGGTTCTTTTTCTGTCCCATTACTTTTGGTCCCTTAACAAGTGGGAGGCACATATGCAAACTGTTGTAATTCCTACAACGTTCACCTGATTTGGATGTAAATACCCTCAAAAAAAGCTGACAGTCTGCAGTTAAAGCACATCTTGTTCATTTCATTTGATATCCATTGTGGTGGTGTATAGAGCCAAAAATGTTAGCATTGTGTCGATGTCCCAATATTTATGGACCTGACTGTAACAGCTCGTTTATTCCCAGCATCATTAGAGAAATGCAACAGTTTTTCATGGCTTTAATCCTGGCAGGGGACATCAGACATGACCTCCTTTCTCTGCGGGATGGCATAAACGAATCGTTGCCTTTGAAGTCTCGTGGGATTTTGTGATCTTGAGAGTCCAGCGAGGAGAACGGCGCAGATGAAACTCCGTGGCTGAGAGTCTTCAGTTGTAGACTGGCACAGTGAATCACTCGAATAAACCGTTCCACACCACTGATGTCTCCAGTGTGAAGTCGGGGCAAGTTTTAACTAAAATACTTCTACTAATGGTTTTGACTTCTAACTCGGATGTGTTGACCTACTTTCTCTAGAGTAATACTTCTTGACCACTGAACAAAACCATGAAATGAAAACAGAATAATTACTGTTACTTTTCTTTAGACAGTTAACTTCTACACAAAAATAACTACCTTCAGAGCTTCAATTAATCTAGTCTGGCATGGCTGGGAAGCTGCTACAGATACTCGAAGCTTGCAGGTGTCAACATGTAACGGATAGTGAGCAGGATGCTATTAAACATTAACATGCGTAGCTAAGCCTCTGAAAGGTAAACAGGAATATAGTTGTGTTAATTAGTGCCACCATGTGAGACGACAAAGGTATTTTAGATGTGAACACACACACAAACAGTACCACGAGCTGCAACGGGATAAACGTTACTATAATGCATGCGGTGGAGCAATGCATTTAAACTTATTTTATGCAACACGTAGGAATGTTTTCTGCCACCCTTAATTTGCCACTATGATAATGATGAAAGAGGAAAAGCAGAGCCAATTACCTTCACCCCATGAATAAGTCCATTCATCAGGAATGTGTGCTGAGGGAATGTCTCATGTAATACCTGAAAGACATGCACCGACAATCAGCTGAAAACACTTTACTCATAAAAATCAACAATAAATGTGTTTTTTGTTTCCCAAACATTTACAAGTAGGACAAAAATTTGGATTTATTGTCGTAGTAACACCATTATTAACTTTTAGCAAATATTAAGTGTTTAGTAAGCATTTCTTTCATGCATTCATTAGCCTTTGAATGATTGTTTCTTATGTCGCACCTTTTCATCCTTTGACTTTACTTTTTATCCAAGTCCTAAATCTGAATTTGATTTGTATATTTAATTTGATCTATGTATATTTGTGTATTTTAACATTCCGCTGCTACTTCTCACCAGTATCAGCTGATGGAGGGCTCTAATTTCGTTGCGCCGTTCATGACAGCAGACACGATAGGGTCGGGGTGGGGGGCGGGGCATGACGCTTAGCCTGGCGGGTGGCCAAGCAAAGCCTGACGGGCCGCCAGGCTTATAAAGCGCTGGGGGAAACCCTGTTTCAGTTAAGTTTTACTGCCAGCAAATGGTAGGAACCGCGGAGGGCGCGGACATGAGAGAAATAATAATAAAAACACAACATTTTCCATTTACCAACTGCAGAAGGTTGAGTGTCCCAAATTTCTATTTCACACATTGAGAAAATCCTAATGCAGTGTTTTGTGATGCTGCTTCAAAAGTGCAATGAGGTTGGACGTATTAAACTTCTCCAGTTCTGTTTCCCCACGGGAAAACTTGTGCATGGCAAATGTTTCACTGAGACACACTGTCTTTTATGGATTTTAACAAAAAATAATGCCACACAGCCGACATCGTTCTTGTTCCTCGCTACTTTGCTAGAACGCACTGTTCTGATCACGTGGGATTTGCATGCTGGATCTGGGAGCTGCTGGATAGAATTGCTGGAATCAAATTTAAAGCAGAACAGACTGCTTATATCGGACAATTTTGATGCAGTCTAATTTCATCCGATTAGGGGTGTATCGGTACGCTAAAATCGTATTTGGTTCGGTTCAGTGTTCTGAAGTGCTTGGTTCGATTAATTTTAGGTATATTATTATTATTATTATAATATTTACTTATTTAATCTGAAGCTATTGTGAGCAGAACCAGGTGTCATCACAGGCTGCTGATCTAGCATGATGTCTCTATTTCACAGGTTATTTGCACAGCTATGAGTGTCACGCTCATACGGACACGTGTTGTGTTTGACTGTTGATGCTCAGTGTTTTGATTTCTGCAGCGAGCCTAAAAAAACTCACCTCACGCCGCCCAGAGTTTCTTCTTTAAAACTCATATTAACATGCTTCCTCCACGCCGTATTTTGCGTTGTAGGATGAAAACTTTACATAATTGTCACAGCAAACGTGTTTAATTTTTGCCGCTGGGTGCCTGCACAGTGTGAGAGAAGGGAGGAGGGGCAACGCGACGCTCCATTCAGCGTCTCTACAGGCTCCAGTAGCAGCGAGAGCCAGCTGGTTTGATCCGCTCTGAATGGCATTGATCAGAATTTGCAGATCACATTTTCTAAATGGAGATCGGGCATATGCAGCCACCATGAGTCACTCAATACAGCGTCCGTGCGGAAACTCACCTAGAAACTTTTATCCGCTGCACTTCAATCACGCAAATAAAAATTCATTATATTGCGAAAAAAATGAACAGAAATGGTTCAACACTCCCTCATGAACTGTTACACCCCTAAATCCGATACAGTGTTTTTGGGCCGATATCGAATTACTTCTGATATCGATATCAGAACGGGACATCCCTAATGCCAATGCTTCCTTCCTTATGTCAACCAAAAGGTCTGGTAATGCTCCCATTCAAATAACCCCACTCCCTGAGAATTCTAACTGAGCCAATTATCAATTTGAGCTGGCTAGTCCCGCCCCTTATGGTGCTCTCTGAGTATCCAGACTCATCCTCTGTGTAGAAAAGACTGAGGGCAAGTCTGGCAGGCCAGGCTAGAAATGTGCTATACAATTAAAGCTGCCTTGCATATCTGTGTTGTATTCTACCATCAGTAAATATTGTTTGTCTCTCAACAGAATGGAGAGATCCTCCTGTTGATGAACATGGTGAGTACTACATGCTGCTTAACTCATTGTTTGGACTGACGTATGCAAACATGAGGGTTGGCTAAAAGACGAGCTAGTCTGATTTGAATTCATCCTCAGCGCCATGTCTGCTTTTCTACCAAAGTGAAAGAAAACAACCATTTCAAACACAGCAACTAATTTAACACAAAAATGTAGGGTTGCTCAATTAATTGAATTTTAATCCCAATTACGATCTGAGTTTTGAACGATTATAAAAACAAAACAAGCTGATTATTTGCTCCTCCCACTTGCGCTGCCCTGAGTTGCAAATGAAGCGCTCCTCCCACAGTGTTGCCAACTTAGCGACTTTGACACTATTTCTAACAGCTTTTCAGACCCCCTTCTTGACTTTTTAAATCTTAAAAGTACCTAGCGAACACCTCAGAAACATCTCTGGCAACCCTTAGGTACTTTCTGGATAACTGTTGTTGACATTTCCTGCAGGTTAGCTCAACACTCCGTCTGCGCTACGGACCGTTTTTCAGGACATTAGGAAAGGGAATGATGTAGTGATGTGTCAGTCGCTAAAGACAGCTCTCAGGGCCGGCTCCCTGTTGGATTAACCAGAGTGAGTGACACATACCGTACCTGCGGGCTCCTGAGCCGCTAAAAACGGCTAAATGTGTGTGTGCAGTGCGCTAAACACATGTGCAGCTTGCCCCTGATTGCTGTGGGACCGGGTTGGGGGTGCAGCTGTGGTTGGGACATTTATTACATTAACTGATGGACCTATATATAAATGGTTTATAAATAAGGTAGAAATAGATAGAAATAAGTTCCTCATGCTAATAATAACTAATCTCTCTGAGGACACGGTGCTAGTGCACTCTCCTACAGCACCTTGACACGACTAAATAAATGTTTTGCAACATTTTGTGAACATCAATTTATTTGCATTTATTTGCTATAAATGCCACTGTATAATTCTTGCTGTCAGTATTTACAAGATATTGGTATTTGGGTCTGTACTGGCTAGACTTAAATGAGTTAAACCAAGGTCTATAGCCCTTGGGTCATAAACTATGAGCTATAAGTATATTGGTCTTTTTAAACTGGGAATCAGGAGTTATTTTAGTGATCATCTTGTTTCTTATTTTTGTCCTGATTGTGCCCTGAGCAATTTTATGACAGAATAAAAACAAATAAAATCAACATAAATTGAGAAATCATCTTAAATAATCGAGATCTCAATTTCAGTCACAATAATCGAGATTATTATTTTGCCATAATCGAGCAGCCCTACAAAAATGTCAAAGAAATTTCGTTTTATGTTTAACACACAATTGTTCAAGCAGTAATGTGACCTAAATTGGTCACATAATTTGATCATTTACATTTTTTATAATAGTTTTATGGGTAAAGGTCATGTTCATTTCAGTTTGCTATATTGGTAAGTATAGTGAAGCAAAATAAAATATATTTAAAAGTGTGCTCCCTATTCAACTGAAGTTATACTAACTGAAGCAAAATATGTTTTTAGGTTGTGTGAACATAGTGGAGAGTAGGGTTGTCAAGGTGTGAAAATTTAACCTCACGGTTATTGTGACCAAAATTATCACGGTATTATCGCGGTATTTTTTTAAACATGTTAAAGTTTCAGGAAACTAAATAAACCCTGTATATCAGGAAAATATTGTCCTCAGTTTGTGTCTAAATTTTGCCTAAAATTTGTTATTTTGTAATTATGTTGTTTATTTGTTTACATTTTCCCCTTTAGTCTTTAAAATACCAATAGTTGCCCAAAACTTCTTAATTTTTGTCTGTTTGATGTAATCACTTTAAAAATATTACATCAGATGATACTCAGTACTCAAGTAGCCTTCTAATCAGATACTTTTTTACCCTTACTTGAGTAATAAACCCTATATCAGGAAAATATTGTCCTCGGTTTGTGTCCTTCCAGTGAGCTTTGCAGATTTGGGAAAATGTCATCAGGCAGTAATCATTGTTAAATTCATAATTATTCTTGGAGAGAGACAAACTCTTATCTGCCCCTGGGAGCCCCGTAATGCATAGCGTCATTTCAACATGGGGGTGTCCGCGACACGGTTTATATGCAGGTGGCGGCGCTGTGGCTGCTTTATATAGCGACTCGTTGCATTTTCCCTCAACCCAAATCCTCGGATCACGCATTTTAGCTACAACGCTAACGTTAGCTTGCCTTGCGTTGACTGTAGAGTTGTGGGTGATGGTCACGCAGATGTGTCATGAGATTTGAAGCGTTGCTGCCTTTCACAGACATTTTTTCTGCACGTGCTGCAAACAGGATAGCCGTCTTCTATCAGCTGTCCATCGGCATTCTTCAAATATCCAAAAAAATGCCCATACTTCCGACTTTGTCTTCTTTGAGGGATAAAAAATGTCCTGCACATTGCCTTCTCCTCCTTTGGCCGTTATTTCAGCTTTAGCTTCAAGAAAGTTTTGGTTGTAAACATCAAAGTGCGCATGTGCCGCCGGCAACTTCAGCAGATGATGCAGTGGCTGGTAAGGGTCACGGCGCCTACACCACAGCCACTGTAATCCACCGAGATAATATAATTTTCAAAAAACAAGATGGTTATTATTATTGTCAACTTTTTTACTGGGGTTTACCACTACACCGGTTACAGTGACAACCCTAGTGGAGAGTTGTGTGTAGCTAACAAAAACTGTCAAATTTTAAATGAACAGAACATTATAAAACATAAACAGTCAGAAAAATCTTATACCGTAAATTCTCTAATACAGGCCGGTATTCAATTAAAGGCCGGGTCTCCAATTTTGGCCGGTGTCGGAGTCAGCGGAGGTGAATAATGGCCGGTCTCTTATTGTGGCCGGGTCGAATGTGGTAACAAGCAAGTATGAGCATTTTAGCAGCAGGGTTATAGTCCCCAAATCAACCAGCAGGAGGCAATAGAGGTTCCCACAGAC